GGTGGAGCTTGGGATAGCTATTTGCCATTGATTGAATTTACTTATAACAATAGTTACCATTCGAGTATTGGTATGGCTCCGTTTGAGGCATTGTATGGTAGACGGTGTAGAACGCCTTTGTGTTGGTATGAATCTGGAGAGAGTTCAGTAATTGGGCCAGAAATTGTTCAGCAGACTACTGAAAAGATCAAATTGATTCAAGAGAAGATGAGAGCTTCTCAGAGTCGTCAGAAAAGTTATCATGATAAGAGGAGAAAGAATTTAGAATTTAGTGCTGGAGATCATGTGTTTATGAGAGTTACTCCGATGACGGGAATTGGTCGAGCGTTGAAATCTAAGAAGTTGACTCCGCGTTTTATTGGTCCGTTTCAGATTACGGAAAGAGTTGGAGAAGTTGCTTATCGTATTGCTTTACCTCCGAGACTTGCGAATTTGCACGATGTTTTTCATGTTTCTCAGCTGAGGAGATACATTCCAGACCCATCTCATGTAATCCAAATAGATGATGTACAGGTGAGAGATAACCTGACAGTAGAAACATTGCCTATGAGGATAGAAGATCGGGAAGTGAAACAGTTAAGAGGTAAAGAGATAGCATTAGTGAAGGTTGCTTGGGGAGGTCCAGCTGATGGAAATATCACTTGGGAGCTGGAGAGCCAGATGAAAGAGGCTTATCCAGAACTGTTCGTCTAAGGTATGTTTTCGAGGACGAAAACTCTTTTAGTGGGGGAGAGTTGTAACGCCCCAGTTTCAATTTTTGATTTATTTAAATTTGGGAAATTGTTTTATTAGAATTAATAAAATAAAAAGGAATTATTTATTTTGAAATATGGAGGAAAATAAAAGAAATAAGAAAATGCTGAGTTTTTTAAGTTATTGGGCTTGGATGTTGTTAGTAAAGAGTGGGGGTGCAAAAGAAGTAAAGTTATGTTTTGGAACTCAAGTTAGTTTTCTCATTTTTCACGATAAACAGAAGTTGGGATTTTGGGAAGCAGAACTCTGAAGGTACGAAGAACGAAGAACATCGCTCAAAAAGTTCAAAGCTGCTAATTGTTAAGGTAAGGGGGGCTAATACTCGATTTACCTTTGTTTATGGTTTATGTATGGTTGATTTAGATAATCGTAGGGAAAACCCCAATTGTTAGATGTTAATAGGAATCGATACCCTTAGGATTGAACCTTGTTAGAAAAGGGTTAGGTTCCCAATTTTCATGAATCGATTAGGAATTTTAGGTCCCAAATGGTGGATTGGGAGTATATCTGCATGATCGTGAATTTACCTTGGAAGTTGTAGGGATAACCCCAATGTTAGCAGATTTCCCCAAAAAGGACGATTAATCCCGGTTAAGGGTACTATAATGATTGTTGGTAATTAGGAAATTGAGGTGTTGTTTTAAATTATACAAAATCGATGTCGTTAGGTACCGAAATGCGCGTTTTGGCTGGCATTTTCCCGCGTTTGGCTGCTGTTCTGAGCTGCTGCAGGTTCAGGAAAATCCTGTACGCGCTCAGCAACACGGGCCGTGTTGCACAACACGGGCACCCGTGTTGCTCTTCTGTGTTGGTGAGATAGTGTGCTTTCTGGTTGCACAACACGGGCCGTGTTGCACAACACGGGTACCCGTGTTAGGTCCCCTGTAATGAGAAGAAAAAATGTGTGTTTTCTGGACGCGCTCAGCAACACGGGCCGTGTTGCACAACACGGGCACCCGTGTTGCTCTGTTGTGTTGATTTTTCTGAATTTTGTTTTTTGTGCGTTATTGTGGATTTTATTGTCGTGCTTTTGGATAATGTTATCGAGCATGAATTATGATATGACTTGATATGATTGATGTTTAAATAGTATGCTGAGTGATTACATGCTATCCATATCCTGTTATGATTGATGTTGTTGATGTGCATGATATGTTAATTGATGTTCATAGTATGCTGAGTGTTACATACTTACATATCATGTTGCATTTGTTAATTCCCATTGTGTGGAATTAACATGGTGGCCAATATACGTGTCCGCGATTTAATGGAACGTTGAGGTGGTAGCCGTGTCCGCGATATAATGGAACGGTGAGTTATCCGTGACCCGAGATTTAATGGGGCGGTAAAGTGGTACCACATGCATGGGTGTGTTGCATTACCTTGAATATAACATGAATGGATGATTTTTCCAATGTTGTATTTGATTGTTGTATGCACGTATTATTGCTAAACGGTTGACGATGTTTGATGATTATTTGCAAATATGAAAAGTAATATACCATGGGTATATGAATTGTAAAGGTTTTTGTGAACTATGAAATATGCTAATTATTGGGTGATGCTTATGATTTCCTGAATTGATTGTTATGAACGTATAATCAAATGTATAATTGAGATGCTCACCCTTACTGTTGAATATTTCAGATTGAGGAGCTTCGTTCAGGTGCTTGGCGAAGGCTTGTCGTTCTAGTTTATTTTTCGTTTTAGTATTGTCCGGGTCATGCTCTGATAGTTGTAACTCCGGGAACGTTTGTTGTCGAGCTGCTTTAGTCAGACTCGTTTACTTCCTTAGTATTTGGTTATAATATGATGTTGATATATTCCAGGTGTTAATCCCTGATGATTGAAAATATTATAACTTTGGTTTTATTAAATAAATTATTCCGCTGTGTAAACATGTATGAGTTACTACTAAGATTATGCATGACAGGAATTTGTTGTTTTATTAAAAGAGAATTGTAGCATCCTCGAATTATACATGTGCTCTGAAATTATGATTTTATTATTTGCGAAAATTCATTCGGGGTTTTAGAGGGTGTTACAGGGGCTGTTATGATTTCTAATCCTGCCTCAAACCAACAATGAAACAATCAGCGTAGACCAGATACGCCTAGAAGACAATTCACTCAGATCGACATGACCTTATCCCATGTTTTACCATATCTGCTGAAGTCCAATATGGTGACTCTAAAGGAGGCCTCGAAGAATCCTAATACTGCCTCTCCTCGCTACAACCCAAATGCTCGATGTGCCTACCACTCTGAAACTCCAGGGCATGATACAAATGACTGTTGGGCTTTAAAGAATAAGGTACAGGATCTCATCAAAGCAAAGGAGATTGAGTTTGACCTTCTAGAGACACCTAATGTAATAATAGCGCCAATGCCCAAACATGGCCAAGGTGTCAATGCTATTGATGATGACCGTTTTGTTTCCTCAGTGGATGAATTAACTACTCCTCTTCTGACTATTAAAGAGAATCTATTGAGTGTTGGTTTATTTTCGACTTGTGGTGAAGGTTTTCACTTATGTGTGTCTCTACCAGATGGCTGTTTGTTATTGAAGATGGGCATCCAACGCTTGATGGTTAACAAAGAAATCATATTCGAGAAACTTCCTCTTGCAAGAAGTTCATGTGAAGATGTTTCAATAATCACCATTTCCGACAATCCTCCCAGGGTCTCCACCAAAAGACCCGTCAGGATTACATTTGTTCCAAAGTTTTCTCCCCTGATCATCACCCTTCCTAGGCCAATACCATATTCCTCAGATAAAGTTATTCCCTGGAATTATGGGTGTCATACCACAATTTTTGACCTAAGATACCACCTCCTATCAGTATCATTATATAGCAAGCGTTCACAAGCAATTCGACCTATTTTTTCCATTTCTAGAGTCAGATTTAAAAAATTAATAACTTCTTCAAATTTAGATATTTTTTAGTGTTTCTTTTACATATGATTCTCCTTGACAACATCTACAACTTTTCTTTACAAGTCAAGAGCTGATTATGTTTGAAAAGCCACAGAAGAATGAAAACGTTAGAAGTCGCTTTATGAATTTAATGGAATTTGATAATGACTTGTGCAACCTTTCCCAAATCGTGCATATCGCAGATTTTTTCGTCTTTTATTTATCATTTTTGTCTTATTTGAAAAAAATCTAAAAAAAAACATGTATTTTAGTTCATGTCACATTTTACTATCGCATTATTAGAAAAATCACAAAAAATTATTATAATTAGCATTATAGTATTTTAAATTCAAAATTCAAAATTCAAAATATATAAAAAATTATTATAGTTTTATTGGTTTCATTTAGATTTATATCTTAGTATAGATTTTAATCCAAAAAATCTCAAAAAAATATAGTTAATATCTTTTTCCTTTATTTTACATTTTTTATTCTTTTTAGTCATTATAGTTTTAGCTTCTTTTAATCCAATATTAATTTTGATTTGATTCTAATTTTAATTCAAATTTTAATTCAAATTTTCAAAATTAAATTAATATTAAAATTAAAATAAAATTAATTTTGTTTGCATCTTATTATATTATTATTATTATTATTCTATTTTTGTATTACTAACAAATTGCCTTTTATCATTATTATTACTATTATCTTTGTTTTATTGTTTTATGTCCAAAATCCTGCTGCAGTCCAAAATCTTGCTATTGTCCCTATCCTAAATGTCCATAAAATTCCAACATGCTACATAACAAAACCTGCATAATGCTCCAAGCATAATAGTTCAAACCATTACCAAAGCTTGCACAAAAATAGTCATACAAAAAACTTCATCATAAAGTAAGAAATCAGTACCTCAAAAAACAATTCAAAAGCACCAATCTTCCCTCTCAAAAATCCAGGGGATTCTTATCTATAAAAGGAGAGAAAAATTACTGATAAAAAAGAGGGGCAAATGGAGATCTTTTCACATAAAAAACCAACAACATACAGTAGAAAAACCCCAACAAGAAAAAGACTCAAAAAAGATGGTAAGAGAAAAACTCTTATCAATAATAACCTCCAAGCCTCCTACCATCAACCTTTGTTAACACAACATAGAAAATATCACAAAATCTTACAAGAACCACAGAAAATACTTTCAGTTCTGTTAACATAACACACAAAAATCTTTCTACTCCAATTCACAGTAAAGGAGAAGAATACCTCCAAAGCTTCTGTTAAACTCTTCTAATTGCATAGCAGCAATTGGTGTCTGGTCTGTTTATGATATTTTCATGGAACTGATGGATCGAAAGCCATTATTTCCTGGAAGAGATCACGTGCATCATGTGGGTCTACTTATGGAGTTGATTGGCGCTGATTTGGGATTTCTGAATGAAAATGCTAAGAGGTACATCAGGAAACTACCTCTTTATCGCAACCTCCTTCCCTTAGGCCGTCCACTCCACTATGATGAAGAAACCACGATGTTTCACCACCGAAGCCTCCCATCGCCGTTGTTTTTGCACGAACTACTGAGCAGATCCTCGCCCGCGATGTCACCAAAAACCCCATCACAAACCACTGCGAATTTGACTCATCGCCGGAGTTGGGTTTGTCTCATCCTTTCCTTTTTTTTCTTTTTTTTAATTATTATTGTTTATAGTTTGTTTGATTTTTCGGGAGATGTGAGAAGTTGAAATAGAGATAAAAAGATAAAATACAGAGGAGAGAGGGGAAGATTCACGGAAGATGAAGGAGAAGAGAAGAGGTTTTATTTGTTTTCTAGTTTCTGATACTATTTTTTTCATAGGCTGTTACTATTATTATTTTATTTACTATTTATTAAATTTGAAAGCCACGTGTCAACAATGTATTGGCTTAGAATTGGTTTAGTCTAAATGTTCACACACCCAGTGATAACAACAACGGCGGCACATCCTTTCAACTATTAGGGTTTTGAAAACCCTTCACTCCCTCTTAGTAAACTGGATCCGGGTTTGGGCCTAGCCCAACCCATTTCCCAATTTTTGTTTTTTATAGTTTTAGATTAAGATAACATAATGAATGAACAATTTGGTGTAGTGGCTGGAGCATGTACGTGAAATGCGTGAGAACCTGGGTTCAATACCCGTGTGAAGCAACATTATTTTTTATTTTTTACTTTATTTATTTTCATAGCATTTTTTGGGCTTCAACTCAACCAATTCTTTCTAAGCCCATTTGAAACTGTTATATCCACCTCTAATTTTCTATTTCACACCTCCTTTTATTATTAATATGGTTTAGATTTTAATTAGTAATTTTATAAGGAATTTAGTTTATATTTTAATTATTTTAGATATAATTTATTAATTTTAGAGCTTTAATAAACTTTAGAATTTTTATTTGATTTAGATTTAGTTTAGTAATTCTACATAATTTATTTGATTTAGTTTAGTAACTTTGAAATTTTTATTTGTTTTAGCAACCCTAGGATTTTAATTTATTTTAGATTTAATTTACTAATTTTAAAATTATAATTTAGTTTAGATCTAATTTAGTAATTTTAGAATTGTTTTTGTAACCTTAGAATTTTAATTTGGTTTAGGTCTAATGTAGTAATTTAGTTTCAATTTCTTATAATAATATTTTTTTTCTCTTAACTTTATTATTTTGTTTAATTTAATTTAGTAATCTTTTGAATGTTAATCTTTATTTAGTTCAGTTGCAAACTATAAAATTTTCATTTAGTTTATTTAATTAACTTTAGAGTTTTAAGTTTAAATTATAATTAATTTAGTAATTTTTACAATATTATTTAGTTTAGAATTATTTTAGTAACTTTAGAATTTTAGAATTACTTTTGATAACTTTAAATCTTTATTTGGTTTCGATTTAATTTGATTTAAATTTAATTTAATAATTGTTAGAGTTTTATTTGACTTAGAATTTTCATTTGATTTAGATTTAATTTAATAATTTTAGAATTTTTATTTGATTCAAATTTAATTTAGTAACTTTAGAATTTTTATTTGATTTAGATTTAGTTTAATAACTTTAGAATTTTCATTTGATTTAGATTTAATTTAATAACTTTAGAATTTTTATTTTATTTAATAACTTTGAATTTTTATTTAATTTAATAACTTAGAGTTTTTATTTGATTTAGATTTAATTTAATAACTTTAGAATTTTTATTTGATTTAGATTTAGTTTAGTAACTTTAGAAATTTTATTTGATTTAGATTTAGTTTAATAACTTTAGAATTTTCATTTGATTTAGATTTAATTTATTAACTTTAGAACTTTTATTTGATTTAGATTTAGTTTAGTAATTTTAGAATTTTATTTGATTTAGTTTAGTAACTTTGAAATTATTATTTATTTTAGATTTATATTAGTAACCTCGAAATTTTAATTTAGTTTAGATTTAATTTACTAATTTTAAAAATTTAGTTTAGTTTAGATCTAATTTAGTAATTTTAGAATTATTTTTATAACCTTAGAATTTGTAGTTAGTTTAAAATTATTTTAGTAATTAATTTTTTAATTTAATTGAAATAACTTCTTTAGATAATTAGTTACATTCTCATTTATTTGTATTTAAATACCTCTGTCATTTTAAATTTATCGGTGCCTTTTGGTCATTAATTTGTTTCGTTAGATTTATTTTTCTTGTGAATTTCCAAATGCTTATATTTTGATGTTCATTTTATTTTGCTTGCTCGATTCACTCCAAGGGAAATAATTAAATTTGTTGACTTCATGTCATCAGATATATCTGATACAATTGTGTGAATCCCTTCACTCATTTTTTTTGTTTTACTATTTTGTCACTCTTAAGTTAATCTCCTAAAAACTCAATTTTAAAAGTCAAACTTTTAAGTCAAAACTTTGACACTAGGTCGTCGTATCTTTAAAATTTCGTCCATACCCATTTTTAGCCAAACGAACCATTTTTATCAAACAAAAAATTTAAACCAAAAAACAGATATTTCAAAAGGTTCCTGCGGAGTACCGCAGATGCATTGGGTGCTAGTACCTTCTCATTGCATAATAAACCCCGAACTCTAGATCTCTTTCAAAAATGCATTATATTTTTATTACTTTTAAGTATTATTTTACATTGCATATTTTAGGGTTTCATTTCGCTCTTTTCCCTTTTTCCTTGGAAATAATAAAGCACGGTGGCGACTCTTGCTTTTACGATTCAAGTTAGTTAATAGCTCGATCTTCAATTTTCACCGCTACAGAATTGGCAACTCTGTTTGAGACAGATTGACCTCTTGCTGGTCCATCCCTAAGTGGGTTAAGCCTAATTTTTCATATCTGATTTTTATTTATTACTACTTGTTTGTTCGATTATATGTGATATATTGTGGTTATTTGGGTGTTGACGATATTCACAAAGGACAAGTCCTATACCTGGACTAAGTTACACTTAGGAATAGGACGGGCAGTATAGTCATGTTAACTTTGAGGGAGTAATACCGAAGAATGAGGCATGAAATCCCCCACTCATTGGAAGCCCCTTTGAACGTAGTATTTATTTACCGAGTAATCGGGAAGACATTGTTGCTTTCAACCTGGGAGTCAGAGAAGCTGAGAACCGTAGAACCCTTAACCCATCTTGGCCTCTTAGTTGTAGTGCGAAGACTATAACGGAGTAATCCGAAAGTAGTTATCCCGCGATGCTACACTTAGACGAGTTTCTCTTAAGAATATTGCTAATTACCGATTAATCAGGACGTTAGTAATATCTGAAGGAGGAATTAGACTCTGGGAACTTTTAGAACCTTGTTTTATAGGTGTAATTAAACCTTTAGTACATAGCTTGGGGATGGTCTTTATCTTTGACCCCACACTCGTGACGTTGAACCTTTCGACTTTGTTTGTGACTTTTCTTATGTTTGTTGCATAGCCATGCCTTCATTCATCCATGAAATCCTTTTCACTTGATTTTCAAGGAATTTGGAAGTCTTTCTTTGTAAATGTCACAAGTTTCGTCAAACTCAATGGATCTTGGGTGTTGATGGGGTGGAAACCCTATCCACCAAAATGGATGATTGATCTTGATGATAACTTAATCAACGTTTTGATCCAATTTAAAATGCATCTTCTATCTTCATACTTTGATGTTTACATCTAAATCAAATAAAAACTCTCTTTTACATTCACATCTCATGCATCATTCTACATTTGTTCTTTCACTTTCAAAGGTCATTTCCAAGTCTTAATTTTTCCTTTGGTCTCACCAGTACAACACTCGCACTAGGAGAACAATGGATGATATCAAGCAAGAGGTTTCTGAACTCCACAGAGAGATGACTAATTTGAAAGCTAGTACGGAGCACTTAACTGGTTTGGTTGAAATTTTGGTTGTCGCCCAATTCAATCCTTCTAAGAAAGAAGAAGTGATGGCAAAGGTCTTCACTGAAACTCTGAAATCATTCTTTCATGAGAAGATGATAATTAATGTGCCTAGTGACTTTCTTAACAAGGTGAATGTGGGAGGGTGTCTAGAAGAAGATGTTTGAAAGGGATGTTTATATGAATATGGTGGCTCAGCTAGTGGTGTGAAGAAGTTTGATGATAACTTTTCTAAGAAGAGAGTCAGAGGAAGAAATAATCATCGTCAGAATCATCATGTTTCTCCTACCATCCCTTTGTACAATTTACCTTTTGCAGCTTCAGTTCATCAATAAAATCAGCAATTTCCTAATCATAGGAAATCTCGATTTGATCCAATTCCAACAACCTATACAAAGTTATTTCCTGTCCTGATGCAGAGGAATTTAGTTCAGACCCGACCTCCACCGAAGGTTCCTGAGAAGATGCATTGGTAATACAAAGCTGATTTGCTTGTGCCTTTCATCAAGGTGCTCCTGGGCATGACTTAGAGGGTTGCTTTGCTTTGAAGATTGAGGTTCAGAAGTTGGTCAGAAGTGATATCTTGTCATTTAAGGATATTAGTATTGAGGTTAATGTTAAATCTTTGCCAAAGAATAAACATGATTAAGGGATACCTCGGAGTTTAAAAAAGAGAGTCTTCTCAGTTTAATTAGAATTTTTCATGCTTGTTCATTTGTAATTTTTCTTGTTTATCATTGCACTGTTTGCATGTAAGAACTTGTTTGCATTTGAATGATTATCTTAATATAATGAGTATGTTTGTCTTGAAGAAATTCATTCATTTCACTCGTATTTGTTTTCAAATTTTAAATTTCTTTTTATGTTATGATACCAACTTGGTGCCCATTCTCTTGCCTAGGCAAAGATTGAAGGGAGGATGATGATCTGAAAAACACAAAATCTCTGGTTGTATGCTTTTTGAATAAAATCTTGCTAACGATGTACATGCATTGTTTCAAATCCCTAAACACTGGAGATATAAGGAAGATAATCCCTTTCTAACCCCTTTTGAGCCTTTGAAGTAGAAGTTTCTTTTCTATACAAAAAAACTCTCAAATTTTAACCTAGGACAGGGTAGTTTTTAGTTAATCTGATTGAGTGTTCAAAATTCATAAGAAAGATATTTTTGAAGAGAAACTACGAGGGCTATCCTTCATGTATAATGAATACAGAAGATGTGGAACCACAATGTTATCCCTCATTCATCAAGAAACGAGGCAGTAACAATCCTCTCAACAAGTAAAGACAAGCTAATGTCACACATTTTGTTCAAAAGTCAAAAATCAAGAAAAAAAAGCCTGCTAAG